TGCAGTCCTTTTCTTATACATGTGGAATATATCATTTAAAGTCATCCGAATTTCATCTGGATCTCAGAATCAGATTGCTCAAATATTGCTCATTATTATAATTAAAATGCATGCTGAGATAGCTTGGATTATCATACTTTCTCCTTTAGACTAATTTACAGTTCATCATGGAGAAAAACAATCTGAATTTTCCAAACTTTCAATTTTTCATTATAATATTTAATATGTGTGCCAAAGGGCTTTGAGCTTTCCAAAAGAAAACCGAGTATGCAGGTAAAGGAGACAAGCATACAGAACAGGCAGGCAGTTTTAACAGATTGGATACTGCTCATTTGTCCTTCTAAGCTATTTTCAAGAACAGAAACATACCGTGCCTAAGGATACAAGTCATGCTTTTAATTTCACTAAATGAATAATGGTAGTTTCTGCTGAGAGCAGATCTACCAATAAATATTTAAACAATTACATAAACGTTACTCAAAAAAGATGGACAAATTATTGGCATCTGTACAGCCTTAGCTTAGTCCTGACTATATACTGAAGCTTCAATTGTCATCAGACTCAAATTTTGGCATTAAATTAAAGCAGTAGAATTTCTTGCCTTTTGCCTGATGTTCCATTAATTGTTCTGTAGTCGTAAATTCTCAGTGAAAGCAGAAATTATAATTTCAATTTCTTTTAAGCACCAAAAGATAATATAGGTATTTTGATGACTAAGGCTAGGCACCACTTTAGATTCAGGGTTTTTTTTTTAAGTGTTTTGCAGAAGTACAATTGTAGTACTTTGAGCATCATCTGAAAACAGCTATTACTTTTTCTCTAGAATTATGCAGTTACCAACTGGGTACCTTAATGTTCTGTCTGAGGCCCAGTATTCTTAGATGAGTGAATAGAAGGGATTAATCCCTTGGTAAGACCACACTTGTATAGAGAAAAGCAACAAAGTTTATTAGAGGGCTGGAGGCTAAAATATATGAAGAATGGTTGCAGGAATTGGGTATTTCTAGCCTAGTGAAAAGAAGGACAGGAATGACACGATAGCAGTGTTCCAATATTTGAGAGGCTGACACAAAAAAGAGGGGGCAACCTATTTTACAAAGCACTAGAAGGCAGGACAAGAAACAATGGATGGAAGCTAATCAAGGAGAGAAGCAACCTAGTACTAAGGAGAATTTTCCTGATGGTGAGAACAATTAAACAGTGAGAACCACTTGCCTTCAGAAATTGTGGGTGCTCCATCACTGAAGGCTTTGAAGAAGAAACGGGACAGCATTTGTCCAGAATGGTATAGGATCTCCTGTTTGAGCAGGGGGTTGGACTAGAAGACTCCTACGGTGTCTCCTCTCTCTCTCTCTCTCTCTCTCTCTCTCTCTCTCTCTCTCTCGAAAGAGAGAGAGAGTAGATAGATAGATAGATAGATAGATAGATAGATAGATAGATAGATAGATAGATATATTTATATATAGATATAGATATAGATATAGATATAGATATAGATATTTTCATCGTTTAGTATGAAACAAATTCTGGCTTGTGTAATATGGTTCCAGCATCTTAATATCAACTGTCTGAACATGAAATAATAGCACAGGGTTGTTGCTAAAAAGCAAATGGTCGATGACTTATGCCCACATTAATTCAAAAATGATTGCAATGGTCCTCCACAATTGGCATCGTAAATCATTGCAATCATTTTTGAATTAATGTGTCTTAAAATTAAGAGAGATATAGTTCTTACAAATAATCTGAAGGGCACAACGTGACCGATGAAACAAACTAAATTATACTTTATACTATAAAATATCAGAATCATTTGCTGAAAATTGCTTTTTTGGTTAAGAATTAGACAGAAATATTCCTGAAACAATAGGACTTAGTGCCTTAGATGCATTCACTAGAAATCAGAGGCCCAAACATTACTTGTTAATGCGGACAATCACTTATCCTGTGGTTGCAGTCCAGACCATGCACTGAGCAAAGAGTAAATTACAAATCTTGTAGCTGATTACAAGTCTTGTAAGGATATTTTGCAAACTGAATGCAGAACAGAATTATTGTAGACACAAGCTGATTGGGATTCCATCAGATGCATGTATGTCTCTCTTTGTAGATGTAGATGTGTGTGTGTGTACCACACACACACACACACACACACACACACACACTATGTGGCTGCTGTGATTGCTCTTTGGCTACTAAGACTGTTCTTTGGCTTCCTACATAAAAGTCCATTTTTCTGGATGTTCTGATACAATCTTTTAATTATATTGGCTCATACAATTAAATTTGATTTTGATTTTGATATATAATCCTTGTGACTACCACTTCTGTCCTTTGCTATACTCTCTCTCCTTCCCGCTCAGTTTTTAAACTATTTTTAAAAGTATCTTGTACTAAATAAAAATCCAATTTCCTAGCTTTGTACAACACAATGACATTCATTGGGCTGTATAGAGATAGTTCAGGGACTATATTAGAATATGCAGTGAACGGAGATATTACAGTGTAAGTTATTATGTGAAGCATGTCCATTAATTCATGGATTACTGTGTGAAGCATGCAGGAAAATCTTCTTTTGTATTTGAATAATGTTACTTAATTTTTTGAATGAACTCATGTGAAGAATAATAAAATGGCTTGAATATGTGAATTCTATCATTAAAGATAATGAAAAGCTGGAACATCTTTTCTGTCCTTTCTCATAAATAATGGATTCTGCTGGCCACTAATCGCTTAGCAGAAATTTAGAACAAAAATTTATATATTCTCCAATAAACATGCATCACAGAAATGAATAGTAGATGCATTTATCTAGATGTCATTAAAAAATAGTAAAACCATTAAGAGATTGCAAAGGGATAATCATTATAAAGGACTGTCACCAAATAAAAAAATGTAATTGTGATCCTATTCTGAAAAATCCAAGAATTTAACATGACAGCATTTCCTTTATTATTGCTTGGCACAATACCTGCAATTAATATAATTATTGAATCTACAATTTTAATTCCTGTTCAAGACACTTACATTTGTCCTATAACTTCATGCTGTATGTAGCTAAGAATTAGCTACTTGAGTATACATACATACAGTATGTGTTCAAGAAATGGGAACATGGGGAACATACAGGATTAGACACACTTGACTCTGATTGGAAATTCAATGTTTACTATTTCTGTGCTATTTCAATGTCTATTATTTCTGTGAAATATATTTGAAAGAAAAATCAACCAGAAATTCAAATTATGCAAATTTAGGTTTTTTAAATAATAATAATAATATGAGTTTAAGAACTTAGTTTTCAGTTTATGTCTTAAACTAATTACACTTGAAATTAAACCTGTTTGAAGAGTAGTTTATATCCTAGAGCAAGGGTCTTCAAACTTGGCAAGTTTAAGGCTTGTGGACTTCAACTTCCAGAATTCCTGAGCTAACATGACTGGAGGAGGAATTCTGGGAGTTGAAGTCCACAAGTCTTAAAGCTGTCAAGTTTGAAGACCCCTGTCCTAGAGTCCTATTCAGTATTATGTAAATCTAGAATAAAATGGTAAACTGTTGAGGTAAATTCCATATATTTTTCTTGGAAACAATATAGAAATAGTTTGACTTTTAGGATTCCCCAATTCTATCTTGGCTACCCAGGTAGGTCTCCCACCCAACATCTACCCAACCTCTTAGTTTTTCAAGGGCAGGTTGGTATGTCATCTAGCTGGCTGCTATATCAGTTACAACAAATACTTTAACAGTATGAAAAGACAACTTGGATGCATTGGGTTTCGATGTAAGGAAACAACAGGGAAATCTTTATGCTGTAAAAATCCTTTTAAATTTCTTTTATTTTGGAAATCATTAAGAAATGACTATAAAAATAATTATAAACGGTGGAATGCCTCCTTAGAATTGTTTTATATGAATGTATTGATTGCATTGCAGGGATTGTGCTCAGATCAGTACATGTTCTATAACTATTGGTAGTAACCAAGTGGTTCTTAGTGTTGACTGATAGATCTTAAGGACACTGGAAGGATTAAGAAATAATATTTAATAATTGATGTTAGTATAAGCTTATTGTTTATTTTCCCCAAGACATATAAAACAGTGCAACATAAGAAATTAATTTAATTTCTGTTATAAGTTGCTATTTTTGCTATAACAATGCTGGCTGGAAAACTAAAGTTTAGCTTCTCAGTACTGGATGAAAAATTAACATCACATGAAGAATGATTTAATTTAAGGTTGCTTTGTTCATGCTTGTTCTCTTTCTTTAATTACACCAACAACACACTTTCTAATGAATTACTTCCATCTATATATATATTATTCTGGACAGAATTATTTAATATTTCAGTATTAAAGATTACAAATGCATGCAAACACTTACATACAACAGTGTGTGTATGCTTTTGTGTACTTTTCTACCTCTTTATTTATAATGTATTATATTTGAAATGCTTTAGTGCCTGCTACATGTTTAAATAAACTTTAACAATAGAGAAGGGATTTAAAAATGCCATTGAACTGGAAAACATGAAACCTTACATTAAAAGATTTCCTACTGGCATAGCAATAACTTTAAACTAAACCAAACAAGGTTATAAATTATATCCAGGGTCTTGTTCTAATAGCAGTGCTATTTTTCCCTGCTGCTGTTTGATTGATGCCCTTTCTTGGAAGATCTAAAAGGTGATACCTATTATCAAAAAAAATAGAAAAACCCCACATAAAACTGAGAAGCAACAGAAGATGGATTTGTGTCCAGATTGTACATCATAAATTATGTCTCCCATTTAGCCAAAATTCAAACATAATAATAAATCATGTGTTGCTGCTTTGTGTGTTCTTGATGCACTTTCACCGTTTGATCTGCTGTATAATTTCTGTTTGAAATTCAGTTATCTTGGAATCAAAGTTTATTCTTCAGGCAGTAAACAAAAATAATCTTTGATAAGGCTATGTTTATGATGTTATCTGTCATGTAATTGCTGTCATTCTTTTTGCAGCTTGCACAGACAAGGAACTGCGAAATCTTGCATCCCGTCTAAAAGACTGGTTTGGCAGTCTTCATGAAGATGCGAATCGTGTCATCAAGCCAACAAGCTCAGATTCAGCACAAGGCAGTAAGATGACAAATCTGAGAATAAAATTTGAGATAAATTCACAAGTTCAACAAGAATAGCAATGTCAGCTATGTTTTTAAGTGACACAATAATACCTTAGCACATATTTCCATTCCTTTCATTGCTGCTTCTTTTCATTATGTAGGGAAGAAGGGTTCATGTAGCCAGGACTGCCATTTTAAATACATTTTGAAAATAAAATAGTTTCCTGTATAATGGTATTGTATTCTCTTTCAGCCCCTAGGGATTCCAGGTTCTTAGCCTCTAGGCTTAAATGAGAAAGCTGAATTAAACTTGGAAATTTACAGAAATTAAACTATAACAAATAATGAGGAAGGATTCTAAAACAGAAGGACAATCAATTCATGGTATAATGTTTAGTAACTTGTCTTGCTACTTGTTACTTTCAACCTTCTAAGCATGAATTAATCTTAAGTTCTATTTCAAATTCACATAGTTTTGGGGATAGAGGTTTTAGGGAAGATGCATAAATATATTTCATAAATACTTTTATGTGTTGGTATGGATCAATGTCTGGAATTCCCCCAGTCTTCTCTCTTAATCTGTTATGGGGAGTTATTTGGTAGGGCAGGGACGGAAAACAGAAAATAACTTTGTTTACAATATCAAGACCTGAAAGTTAAATACTGGAGGATATTAGGCTCAGTATCTTAGGTGTTGATGCTTCTGATAAGAATTTACAGGCTGTTACTGGACTCTTTTTCATAAAAACATTAGAAGGGACTTAATGTAATTAATTGTAGCTAACGAAATGCCTATAGAAAGACTACAAAATGGACATGTAATTGTTTATCCATGCTTTATTAATTACTTTGTTATATTTATTATCTTTCCTAAATGGAGATTTTCCTTTCCTTTCCTTTTATTCTCACAATTTATTTATTTAGCATATGGCATATCATACATGGACTAGCAATATATAGTAACATTTCATCTAGATTAATACAACGTAATAAAATATAATTATTAAAAAGTTCTATCTTCAAATACCGATGTCTAGATCATCTAACCATTGAAGTGCAGCATCATTTCTATTTTTTTTTTAAAAAATCAGATTACAATCTTTTGAGGTTGACTGGATTAAGAGAGAGTGAAAGTGAAATTCAAATTACCATTGAGTTTTCATGGTTGGGGACAGATTTCAGCTGAGTTTTCCCAAGCCACATTCCATCACCTTAATTGCTGCATCACTCCAACTCTTACATTCAGAATTCAGTAATTTGTGTTCAAAGGCATCCTGATGGTATTACGTATATAGCCAATGTCTCACTTAATATACTCACCTACACATACCATGTGTAGAGTTCACCAAATGACAAATAGAAAAACATTCCATAGAAATGAAAAAATCTGTCCACCAACATTTTTGGTGGAGAGGAATGTATAGATTTTGTAAAATATGTTGGAAAATATAGAAAGGAAAAGGACAAAGAAATGAAATTTAGTATTTATTTGATTTGTCAATCGCTTACAAGATACCGATATAAGAATAAATATAGTTTTGAATACATGAGATAGATACTTATAAGAAAAATAAAAAACAATAGGACAGAGATGGTAGGCACAATTGGTGTGCTTATGCACGCTCCCTACAGGCCTCTTAGGAAGGGGGTGAGGTCAATAGTAGACAGTCTAAGGTTAAAGTTTTGGGGTTTGGGGAAGAAACCACAGAGTCAGGTAGAGTATTCCAAACATTGACCACTTTGTTGCTGAAGTTGTATTTTCTGCAGTCAAGTTTGGTGCGGTTAACCTTGAGTTTGTATCTATTGTGTGCTCCTGTATTGTTATGATTGAAGCTGAAATATTCATTGACAGGTAGGACATTGCAATGTATGATTTTTATACTATATTTAGATCGGACTGGAGGTGGCATAGTTCTAGGTTTTCTAGGTCTAGAGTTTCAAGTCTCGTGGCATAAGGTATTCTGCAATGAGTAGAGGAGCAGAGAACTCTTCTTGTGAAATATTTCTGGACTTTTTCAATTGTGTTAATATCAGATACATGATACGGGTTCCAGAATGATGAGCTGTATTCAAGTATAGGTCTAGCAAATGTTTTGTATGCTCTAGTTAGTAGTGTGATATTACCAGAGAAGAAGCTATGTAGGATTGGATTAGCAACTCTTAATGCCTTTTTGGCTATGTAGTTACAGTGGGCTGTAGCACTTAGATCATTTGAGATGAGCACTCCAAGGTCCTTGACAAAGTTTGGATCCTCAACAAGGTCTTGACTATTTAGCTTGTATTTTATTTTCTTATTTTTTCTGCCAATATGTAAGACAGAGAATTTATTAGTTGAGATTTGAAGTTGCCATTTGTTTGACCATTCTGATACATAGTCAAGGTCTTTTTGGAGGGTAGTAGTATTGTCTATGGTGTTGAATAGCTTTCCATCATCAGCGAAGAGTACGCAGTTGCTCTTAATATGATCACAGAGGTCATTTATGTAGCGTATGAAGAGAGTTGGTCCTAAAACACTGCCTTGGGGGACACCACTGTTGACAGGTATAGAATTTGATAGGACACTCCCATTTGTTATCTGTTTGACAGGAATGCTTCTAACCAGTTATGTAAGTGTCCAGAGATACCATAAGATTTTAGTTTTAGTAGTTTGTCGTGTACCACTGAATCAAAGGCTTTACAGAAGTCTATGTAGATTACGTCTATTGCTTTGCCCTGATTGAGTTGTGTAGTCCATATGTTTTTGCAGTGTAAGAGTTGCAGATTACAGGATAGGTTTTTTTTTTAAAACCAAATTGTTTATTAGAGAATAGATTGTTTATCTCTAAGTGGAGGTTAATGGATTGGTTAATAATTGATTCCATGACTTCATATGTGAAATATATATGAAATAGAGGATATATATGAATATATATATATATTCTTAAGTTTTCGCGGGTACTTACATGTATGGCATTCAGCTCTGTTCGGGTATTGTCCCACGTCATTGTAGTTGTGCTTTTAAAGTTGTAGCAACGTTTCGGCAGAATCTCATCTGCCATCATCAGGCTTCTGTATAGTGTTCATCTGTGAGTCAGATTTTTACAGTGGTTTAAGATTTAAATTTGGGGCAGCCTATTGCTGTGCCAGAATGGTTTTTTCTTCACCCTGATTGGTTGGGAGTCTTGGTCTGTGTTTATTGGTTTTGGAGTTTGCTGTGTTCTGCTTGATTGGTGTTTTTAATATCTTCTGTCTGTTTTTTGGCTCTTTTTGTATCTTGATTGGCTGGCAACATTGTGTTACTTTATCGGAGGCCTTTAGTGCAGCTTGGCTCTGGGTAAATGGACGGCTATCACTAGTTAGGAAGCTAGGTTTCGTCTGGATGCCTGGTTGGGGTGTGTTTGAGCTGGAGGTATTGGGGGGGATCTGTCTGTGCCCAGGTGTTTGCCTGGCTTGTGGTGTGGAGATTTTTTTGTTTGTGAGTGCAGGCTTCCAAATGATTGACAGTCTGGTGGAATCATATCTTGTATTCATGCTTTCTGGTCTTTTTTCAATCTCTGTGGCTTCTCTGATAATTCTGTGGCTGGGGTTTTCTATAGTGGCTAGGGTTTTGGTGCCATTGAAGTTGATGCTATGACCTATGGCTTCCATGTGTTGGACTAGTGAGGAAGTGTGTTCCAGCTTTTTGACTGCATTTTTGTGTTCATCCAGGCGGGTACTTATTATTCTATTGGTCTGTCCAATGTATGTGGCCGGGCATGATGCACAGGGGACTTCGTATATGCCTTGGTTTTCCAGGTCAATTTTATCTTTGGGGTTTCTTAGGATGGCTGCTATTTTTCTGTCTGTTTTGAAGGCAGTCTTGATGTGATGCCTGTGTAGTATCTTACTGATTTTGTCTGTAGTACCTCATACATTTGCATGTAGTACCCAGGACAGTTATTCAAGACATACTATTTATCCCAAAAGAACAGAAAATGGAAACAGAAAGTTCACTCGCCCAGGATTTGGACTCAGCAGGCATGTTATCAGTGGGAATCGGACCAAATAGCTCTCCGGGCAAATGAGGCACCAAGATAGCTCAAGAAAAGCAAAAGTTGTGGCCCTGGGATAGAGTATAGCTAATGCAAAGCATGGGTATGAAGAATAATACTGAAGTCCAGCCCCATCAAACACAAATGCAAACTTTGGCATAGAAGGGAAAAAAAACAAGCCTGAAACAATTGTAGAAGAATATATAATCTTGTTTCTGTGAGCCATAGCTATTGTTAGAAACAGGTGAATAAGAAAGATTCACCTTCAAAGGATTTGTTTCAGCCAAAATCTGGGAGAGCAAACTCTGATATGGGCTCCGAAAGAAAACAGTCAAATTCTAGCTCAGTGAGCAGGTTGAGGAAAGGACATGGATTATTGTCTGAAAATGGAATCATGACAACTGGAGATATTTTCTTGTTGGTTTGATATGTTTTGCTTCTCATTCAAGCAGCTTCTTCAATCTGAACAAGATGGTTAGGGGGAATCTAAGTAGGCAGAGAGTTGTTGGAATGTGCCTCCTCCTATAACTAAAACATATTGAGACTGAAGAAGCTGCTTGGATGAGCAGTGAAATATCTCAAACCAACAAGAAAATAAGTCCAGTTGCCATGATTCAATTTCCAGACATTTCTTCCTGGATGAGTGAGAATTTTCATCGATGACATGGAATATTATTTTTCAGGAACTTTAAAACTTTGAACAGCTTATAAGGGCATCCTTATAAAAACAAATCTGTACACTACATAACAAACCCAAGTTTCATACCACAGAGTGTCTCAATGTTTTATTTATTAATCATATTAAACTTCTGAGCCACCCAACTCACAAGAAGCAACTCTGGGTGGCATATAGCAATCAGTAAAACAGCAAATGTCATTGCAAAAATATAAAGCATAATTACAAGTAAACAAAGAGCATTGAACAAAAGGCAGGTAAGGCTATAATTATAATCACCTGCCAGAAGACCCACAAAACAGGGGTGGTATTCAGCAGGTTCTAACCAGC